CGACGTGCTTGGCGTGCAGTGGGACGAGCCTTGTCCTTCGTAGTCATAAAATCGACAAGCACCGACGAGATCAACTCGCTGAAGGAAGCTCGACCAGTGATGGATGCCAGACTAGAACGGCTATGCGCCCCTCGTGTGCCAGGTTGTTGTGACCGTTGCCACAGTCCTTGTCTCGGCTTACAGGGAATTACTGCAGATGCCGGCCAGTTTTATGAAGCAGTCAGTTCTACTGATGCCTGTGAAGCGGCGGGCGCCATACTGAAGATCACCAAAGAAGATGGCCATTCTGCTGTAACTGTGGCGGGCTCCAGACATGCTTTCTTTGGAGGAGTAGTGTACCGCTCCATGCAAAAATGCTTGGTGTTCACGTTGCAGGACCTTTACTGGTTGTTTGCGGCAGCATCCTGCATGAAATTTGCGCACACAGGCTCCCAGGTCTGGACATTCACAGGGCTCCCGATCGGGGGCCTCCTATCGAAAGCGGCCACGTCCTTTGTCCTGGGCTGGCAAGAACATTGCTGGAACACTGATAGTAGCAAACGAAGGGCAGCCAATTTTGAATGGAGCGACAGACTGTGGAATCACATGGTGGCCAGAGGCAGGTGCGTGGACGATTTGCTGTGGCTCAGCTTTGCTTTGTGCGAGTCCTGCTTGCGCGAGGGAGTGCAACATGCATATTCGGTCCCTTTTGAGATTGAGGGACCAACAGATGGAGCACTCTGCTGGCTAGACTTCAAAGTACAGCTGCGCCCTTTGATCTGGGCCTGCAAGCGTAAAGACTTCATTGCTCTGCCGCCATGGGCCGTTTCAAGCCAATATGCATTTGGGATCCTCATGGGCCGCATGTCTCGTTGGAAGGAGATGCACTTGCGACCGCTAGAGCTTGCTGAGGCTTTGGTCGGTCTGTTCTCAGACTTCAATAGGCGTGGTTGGACGAAAAGGTCTCTTCGCAAGACGATCTACAGGGTTGCTCCCAGATGCATGCGCAGGGATGGCTGCCTGCTCCTACGCGTGTTTCATACCTATTTTCGTTTGGTGTTGTAGTCTTTGTCTGGCTCAAGGGTTTTGGGGGTTCTAGTGGGTGAATTTTTTAGACCCATCCCTAACCCATGAAGTGGCTGGGGGTCACATGGATGCTGTGCGTCTACCTCTGCGAAGCTGGGGGTGGTGGCTACGGTCGCAGTGGAGGAAAACACCCTGGGCGAGACAACAGCAGACAGGCAATTCCCCGCAGTCGACCTGAGCAGCAGTATCCACCCACTCAGACCGTGCGCTTGGAAGTTGCAGTTGTGAATGGAGACCGACGGGAGGGCGAGGACTATGATCATGGCCACAGGCGACAACGTGGTGGAGATGGCCA